CGTCCTTGGCCCAGCTCAAGGCCGGCTGCGGGCTGCCCTGCACGCGGCAGTGGAACGTGGCATGGGCGCCCTCGCTCACGCGGATCGACGTGGGCCGCAGCAGGAAGTGTGGCGCCTGCTCGGCGAGCGTGGTGTCGGCGCCCACCTGCAGGCTGACAGCGGCGACGGCCTCGCCGATGGCGTTGCGCGCGCGGCACACGTACTGCCCGCTGTCGCCGAGTGTGAGATCCAGGATGGTGAGGCGGTACATGTCGCCATCCTGGGCCAGGCGGAAGCGCGCGCCCGCCTCCACCGGTTGCCGGTCCTTCTCCCAGCTCACTTGTGGCACGGGGTTGCCCACGATCTGGCAGCTCAGCGTGGCATCCTTGCCCACGGACACCAGGAAGGCCTTGGGCCGGGTCAGGAAGCGGGGTGCGCCGCTGAAAGGGACGCAGTCCATGGCGGCGGCGGCGGCGGTGGTGGGGACCTGTGAGGGGAGGTGATGGTGGGGACAGCGCTGGGTGGGTGCCGAGCCCTCATCTGCGTTCCACATCCCCCACCCAGTGCGGCTCCAAAAACCAAGCTCAACCCAACATGAGCGCCTGTACATGCTCCCCCAAGCCTAGGCTCATTCCCCCAGGGAGAGCATCGCCTGCTGGCGAGTTCTCCAGGGGGCATATTTGCCCCTTTCTGGGGATTCGGGGTCTGGCTTATTTCTCTTCACCCACCTCCCAATGGGTTCTTGTAACTGGTGGGAGGGTCTCCTCCTCACCCCAGCTCCAACCCCACTGTCCCCAACTGGAGATCCACTTCTACCTGGATGTCCCTTGAGCATCTGTCCCAAACCTGAGGACCCCCACCACCAGGGTGTGGGCTGGGAAGGACTACTGGAGAATACCAACAACGTCCCCCAGGAATGGGCAGGGCCTCCAGGGTGGAATAGCCCGGACCACCTAGGGCTGCTGGTGGCCAGTTGCTCCCCAGTGCTTGGCCCTGGCTCCACTAACTGGCCATCCAGATAGAACCAGACATCTGGGTCCTCTCGTGTCCTGTCCATGCCAAAGGCCCCAGGCTGACCTCCACCCTCCGCCCACCCCGGGCTGAGCCCCAGCCAGTCCAGCCCCCTGATACGGGTGCTGTGAGGGGAGCCCAGGACCCTGCCTGCACCTCCACAGGTGCATGGTGCTTTGGCCCCCCACATCTGAGGGCATGGGGGGGTGCTGTCACCCCGTGTGCAGAGAGCAGGCCCACCACCAAGGTGACTTGCTGGACATCCCAAACAGGGCTGCCTGCTGCAGGGCGTCAACTGGGATGTTGTCCCAGCCTCCCCAGCTCCAAGCCCATGATTCAGGTACCTAATCCCCCCTAATCCCCTGCAAGGGGGCTGAGCCCAGACCATGCCCGGGCCCCGGGGACAGCAGGCGGCAGGCTGCTGACTCACCGTTCAGTCAGCACTTCTGTCCCTTCTCCCCGGCCTGGCCAGGGCTCTCTGGGCTTCGGGAGGACCCAAGGCAGGCAGCTACTCAGAGCAGGGACCAGAGCCCTGAATATAGTCCCTTCTCGAACCTGCCTCCATGGCTCCCTGCCAAGTCCCTGCCCCTTGAAAGGCCTCGGTGTGCCATCTGTGGAGGGGCCACGCTGAGTCACGCCTCTGGGGCCCCTCACCCTGATCTTTGAGCCCTCCCCAGCACCCGCCGGAAACACCTGGTCGAGCAGTGAGAATCCTCCCCATTGCCACACCCGAGTCCCAACACGGCCTGGCCAGAGCTGGAGCGGGTGGGAACAATACGTGGAGCCCAAACAAGGAAGGGGAGCGGTAAGGGGGAGTGTGACCAGAACCCTCGGGAGAGAGGCAGCCCCCCCTACAGGTGATGCAGGGAACTTTCCTTGCTTGGCGAGGCGGGGAGCCTTGTACGGACAGCCAGGGAGGTGCTGAGCCCCCAGCTGTCTGTCCAGGGCGGCACTCCCTCTGCTGCCCAGCCACTTCCCACCCTCAGAAGTGGCAGACCCCACGCGCATAGGGGACAGGCACGCTCTCTGCGGGGCTTGCCTGAGAAGGGCTCCCCAGCACACAGTGAGGACCCTCAAGCTCTGCCCACCCTCCTGTCCCCTCACCTGGATTACAGATGAGGAAACAGAGGCCTCCTCTGGGCACAGAGACACCCCCCTCCTCCTGCCATCTTGTGCAGCGGAGGCAGCTAGACCCACTTCATCCTCAGGACAGGGAGACTGAGGCCCAGGGAGGGGATGCCCTGTGGGTTCCAGCTGGGACTCATCCCCAGCCTCCCAGGGAAGACCTTACCTTCCTGGAAAGGCAGTCCCCTGTACACCCCACCCAGGCTCCCCAGTCTTGTGGCGCTTCACTCCTGGACCCTGCTCCAGCCTTGCCAGGGGCTTGGGGACACCCCCTTGCCCCACCTGGGGTTATGCCTGGTGCCCAGAAGCCCCTGCAGCTGGCCCATGGCCACCCACAGGCTCTCAGCCTCCTCGGCAGCCCCCACCCCCACTTTTCCAACAACATTTCCACTCTGGTCCTCGTCGGGCTCCTGGGCCCATTCTCCAGATGAGCCAGGCCCCAAGGCCCCCTGCCGACTGCTGCCGTCCCTTCCCAGACCCCACCCCAGAGCCTGTCTCACTAGCTCTCCTTTCTCCACACCCTTCCAGAAAGTACTTCCATGGGCAGCCCCCCATGGGGAACCTCACCTTCGACCCCTGAGCTGTCTGCTTCCCCTGCTCCAGGAGAAATTCTTTCCTGGAGTCAGGTGTCAGATGCCCCTCTGGCTGTCCCTTCCGCTGAGCCAACAGGCCCAAAATAGCCCCAGCTGTCAGTGGGCATCTCTAGAGCTGGGGGCAGGGCTGGCTGGACCCTCAGGCCGCTCTGGGGCGGTGGCCGGGGCATGGACGTGGGCACACTCCACGGGCCCAGCCCTGCTGTCCGGCCTGATCACCACCCCTCCTCATTCCTGCCCTCACTTGGAGCCCAGAAATAGTCCTCTCAGCCACAGCCTGGCCTGGCCCCACCGTCTCCCACAGCCGTGACCTTCAGCTAAGCCACCCTCTAGAAGCACAGGAGTCCCTGGGTGGCCCGTGCCTCACCTTTGCCAGTCTCTCACGCCCTCCCCCGCATCGACAAGGACGGGGGGCACAGAATGTGGGGCAGGGCCGCTGGGCCTCCTTCCTCACACCGACGCTGCTCCTGTGGAGGCCCTCCTTCAGACTGGATGGGGACGAAGGGACAGGCAGACGCTGTCAGCTGGAGAAGCCTGGGCCCGCCCCCACCCCGCCCCCACTGCTGGCCAGGCCAGGCCCAGCCCAGCTCCAAAATAGCGCAGGTGTCATTGCCCACGGATTCAGTTTCACCCTCTGGCCCAGCAGGGGGCTGACGGCAGAGGCTCCAGGGGGCCAGGCCCAAGGGAGTGGGATGCTGTTTCCTCCGTGCAGGACCCCCTCCGCAAACCAGCACCCTGAGTCCAGGGTGAGAAAGGGAGCCTGGGGTCCTAGGACCAATCCTGTGTGTGTGTGTGTGTGTGTGTGTGTGTGCGTGTGTGTCTGTGTGTGTGTGTGTGTGT